CCGACCAACGTCCGAGATATCCGGGCGCATATATTGTAATTGTAGGCGGTACTAATTAATGGATTTTACATCGGTGCTGACCCTAAAGAGACTGGTGGTCAGAAGTGAATGAAGCGTGAATGTGCCACGTGTGACTCGGCATAGATTCTCAAAAATTACCTTCTCATTTCCCTCTTTTCACTGAATGGTGTGGGGTTCGGAAAGAATCCACCATGCACGCGTTGTTAACATGTTGTGATTTTACTTGTTGAGTAAATTGTTATGTGCTTTTCAACGCCCTGATCAACACAGTGGGGTAATAATAATAATAAGAGCATTTGTATCCCGCCTTTCCCCACAACATGGGCCCAAGGCGTACATAGGAGATTAAAAACGCATTCATACAAACACCATACAAATTCAACATGTGTGCACTTTTTGACAGCAACATTCTTTCTGACAATTAAAAATGCTCATACAAAAAGGCAAAGGTACTGTCCATTAATTAAAATATTACTTAAATAGATGTGTTTTGAGTCCCTTTTTGAAGGTATCAAGTTTTATTTCGCTCCTCAAATCATGAGGGAGAGTGTTCCAAACTGTTGGCCCAGAAAAAGAAAAAGCTCTCTCACCATAATTATTTCTTCAGTGACACACAAGGTGTTGAAATTAGTCTAGAGCCATTGGATCTTAGTTCACGTGATGGTGTGTATGGTACAATGAGTTCTTGAATGTATGTGGGAGACTGGTTAGTTTGACCTTTGAAGCATAGTAGGGCTAACTTATATTCAATTCTCGCTTTCAGTGGAAGCCAATGTAAGCTCTGAAGATCTTCTGACCACAGTGAAAAGACGAAAACTAAAATGGTATGAGCGTGTCACAAGATCCACATGACTTGCCAAAACAATCCTACAAGGAACCGCACAAGGAAAGAGAAAGAGAGGAAGGCAGAGAAGGAGATGGGAGGACAACATCACAGAGTGGACAGGGAAGACGATGGGTGACAATCTGAGGAAAGCAGAGGGCAGAGAGAAATGGCGAGAGCTGGTTGTCAGAATCAGATGCAGTGGTGCCCCCCACGGTTGCCCTAACCACGGATTAGAAAAAGAAAGAAGAAAGCAGAAAAAAAGAAAAGATCAACACATCTTTAGACCGTTTAAGAAGGCGGACTGCTTTGACTCTGCCTATCAGGGTTTATCCCGGTTGAGGGGGATGCAACGTGCCAGCAGACAAACGGAGTAAGACGAAAAAATATTTCCCCTCCTCGAGAATAGAACTCGGGTTTTCTGCGTGCAGCGACGAAGCTATCACCGCTACACTTAAGACAACAATTTTACTTGTTGGTTGTATATTGTACTGAGCATCAATGACTTAATCCAAATTCCTCTCATTTCCATGTACTGCGTTTAAAAAAATTCTTTCTGCCTCTTCTTTTTCCTTTACATTTTTACTGCGATCCTCCTTCCATCCTTTTGTTCCCACCCTTATCCATCCTCCTCCTCCCCCTCCTCCCCTTCCTCCACCTCCTCCTCCTCCTCCTCCTCCTCCTCCTCCATAAACAAAACGAAGGTCATCATAATCACCATAGTCACTGACATCAACACGTTCAAATCCTACAAAGACAAAATTCATAGACCTTTACCAGATAAGACTGGACCATCACCATTGTCACCACTACCACTACTATCACTAGTGTCAACCTCATCATCGTTTTCATTATCAGCATCATCAGCATCATCTTCATCATCACAATCATCATCATCATCATTATCATCATCTTCATCATCATAATCATCATTAGCAGCAGCAGTAGGACCACCACCACCACCACCACCACTACTACCACTACCAACACACTCCACTACTACCAGAACAAAAGCAACAACAACAACAACAACTACAACAACAACAACAACAACAACAATTGCAAAAACTAAAACTACAACAACAACAACAACAACAACAATGCCGGCAGTGGCATCTCTTTGGGGAAAATTCAGGAAGGTTGGACTGCCTCACCCGCTACCCAAGAGAGGCGGTGGCCCTGGCGAAGAGCACACTCTTCGGGGTTCCAAACATTTCGAACGGACAGGCTGCTGCTGCTGCTGCTGCTGCTG